CAGGTCTAAATTAGGTCTATACCAGGTCTATACCAGGTCTAAACCAGGTCTAAACCAGGGCTAAACCAGGGCTAAACCAGGTCTATACCAGGTCTATACCAGGTCTAAACCAGGGCTAAACCAGGTCTAAACCAGGTCTAAACCAGGTCTAAACTAGGACTAAATTAGGTTTAAACTAGGACTAAACCAGGTCTATACCAGGATTAAACCAGGACTAAAAGAACTAGGTCTAAACCAGGTCTAAACCAGTCCTTCATGTGGACTCAGTCTTAAACAGCATTATTTCCTAAAATGTCTGTTATTATTGTAAATGTAAAATAAAAACAGCGTCTAATACTCTGAGTTCTAACATCCTTTGTATTTTTTTTTTTTTTACAGAATGAAAAATGCTTTTTTGAAAATCAAAGTTGCAGCAAAAAACTACAATTATTTAAATTACACTTTTGGCAAATACTTTCTGTGAAGCGGCGCCATCAGGTGGACAAACTGAGGAATGATTTTTAAACAATTGTACAAAAAACCCAACTTTTTTTTAAACTTAAATGAAACTCCAGCTTTGACGTGAAATAAAAGGACGGAATGTGAAACTTAAGGCAAACTTCTGTCACAGTAAAAAAACAAAGGAAAAGTTTTTGTAAACAGCGACAAAGGAATAAGTTAAAACAGGAAATGTTATGGACAAAATAATAAATAAATGTTTTTAAATTCACTCCGCATTTGGCTGTTTCTGCGCGCTGCAGTGAAGAGGCTCAGTTCGCTGCACGAGCTTCAAATAACCGACCTCATTTCTGTATTTGAGGAAAAAAAAAAAAAGCTCTCGAGGTCAAAATAAGTCCAGTGTGTACAGTCTGCATCTGATTATAAAGTGTTTTTGTGCACGGTTGGCATGCTAGTTAAACATAAGGTAAGGACGGAATAACTTACGACCACTACAATCTTTTTAAAATGAACTAGCGCCGTTTTTCACAGTAAAGTTTTTAAGACAGTAAAAATCAGCTACAGCGCCTTTAAAAATAAGAAATATTTCGATTTTTTTGGTCTGTAATAAGAGAAATTAAATAATAAGAGAAAAATTACATATATATATATATATATATATATATATAATAAAATTTAATAATAATTAATAATAATAATAATAATGATAATAATAATAATCAAGTTTGATTATTTGTACTTTTTAAAGAAATGTTTTCCATTCGTTTGCATTCCCCAAGCAGAATTAAACAAAGGTGCATCATTAAAATCAATAATTTAAAAAACTATATAATAATAAAATGCTAGTGGCTCAAAAATAAAAATTACCCATAACCCATAACTTAAAATTTCCTATAATTTCACGAGATTCTCCTGCACATGTCTCCTGCAGAAAGAGTCTCTGTTCTGTCTGTATCATGTCAGTGTCTCGGAGGATTTCAGTAGATTTCAGACTCTCTCGGGGGCGGGGATAGGTGTGTCTCTCTCTCGGGGGCGGGGCTAGTTCTGTCAATCAGGTTTGAGTGGATGTTCAGCTACTGAAGTTTGAAACGTTTCTTCTCGTCATTTACGCGCTCACCTGATTTAACGCAATGATTCATGACGTGTCTCCCTCACTAATGTTCATTTAGCATGAGAACTTCGCAGCGTTGTTGTGTAAACTGCAGGGTTCAAGTAGCAGCTTATAGTCCAGAAATTACAGAATTTGTGTCAAACAAAATATTGTTCTTCATTATTTGTCAAAACCAAAAAACAAAAAGGTCCAAAATCCAAAACCAGGTCCAGGTCTAAACCAAAAACCAGGACTAAACCAGGACTAAACCAGGACTAAACCAGGACTAACCTAAACCAGGTCCTGGCCTCAGTCCGGGTCTTAGTACCTGACTCATTTCTGGTCTTGGTCCCAGTTTGGTCCCAGGCTCAGTCCTGATCACCCAACAGTCTACCTAGGTGCACCTCCGGACCCATCCGAAACACTCCTGGTTCAGTCCTGGTTCAGTCCTGGTTCAGTCCTGGTTCAGTCCTGAGTTTTCCCTGTTTTAGTCCTTTTTTGGTTTTAATTTTTTGTTTTTTCAAAAAATAATGAAGAAAATAGCGTTTTTTTTAAATTTCAATTTTGAACGAATGACACACGGATTCACGTCTAAATACAACTTCAGAGGTTCAATGAGAAGGAAACAACTACAGCATTTTTAAAAGCTCTGAATAGTTCAATGATTTCTCTCTTTTCGAAACATTTCCTATGATTAAAAACTTACGGCGCCACCTACAGTCAGCATATATTTTGTTCCTCGTTGGTTGATGATACAGACGTTTTCAAGTTCGTTTCCCAGAGTGAAGTTTGTATGTTACACTAAAAACTAAAACTTAATAATTCTGGAAAAAAAATAAAAATAAATAAAAATCAAACAAATTGCAATTTTTAAACCACTGAAATTTCGACTAAAAACAAGTGAGACCGTGCTGTGACCAGGAAATGGTTTAGACTCTGAGCAAGACTTTTCAGCTTAAATTAAAATTAAATAAATAAATAAAAATAACTCAAAAAAATACGTGACCCTGTGTGCCCTTATTTGGACATTTCCTGCCCCTTCACTGCGGCGCGTCAGTAGTTCACACATTTAAACATCATAAATACATTAAACACGTTAAATATTCAAGTTTAAGCCGGTTTGATACGTTTGGCTCAGGCTCCTCCACGCGCCTCAGAACCAGAGGGTTGTGGGTTTGATTCAGGTTTCGGTTTAGGTCGTAACAGCAGGAAGAAGCAGTAGTAAAAGAAGCGCGGCCAATTTGGGACATTTACATTCAAAACTGTTTATGTTTTTTGTTTTTTTTCGTTTTACGTGGAGTTTCTGGCCAAAATGAACCAAACCAGACGCCGCATCGACACAGGGTCAAGACCACTCACAATGTCTCCTCTCCTCGTGCGGCCGCGTCCAGCATCTTACAGTATCTCTTATCTCCTCTCCTCCTCTCCTGTCTCCTTGTTTTCTCGTCTTCTCTTCTCTAAGAGGCCGCGTCCAGCACCTTGCTCTCCCTCTTCATGATCTTGTCTAGGGAGAGCAGGGTGCAGGCTGTGTTTAGAGGGGGGGTATAGGCTCCTCGTTTACTCTCTTTGTGTCCTTTCCTCGTTTGCTCTTGTCGTTTTCTCTCCTTGTCTTCTCTCCTGTCTTCGTTTCCTCTCCTCGTCTTCTCTCCTCGTTTTCTCTCTTCGTTTCCTCTCCTCCTCGCTCCTCCTCTAAGAGGCCACATCCAGCACCAGCAGCTTACACTCCCTCTTGGCTCATTAGTTCCTCATCTCCTCCTCTCCTCTATTTCTCATCTCCTCTCCTCGTCTCCTCTCTCCTCTTCTCCATCTTGGTTCCTTGTCTCCTCCACTCTTCCTCCTTGTCTCCTCTCCTCCTCTAAGTGGCTGTGTCCAGCACCAGCACCTTACACTCCGTCTTGGCTCAGTAGTTCCTTGTCTACTCCTCTCTCCTCGTCTCCTCTCCTCTCTTCCCTCCTTGTCTCCTCCTCCTCGTCTCCTCTCCTCCTCTAGGCGGCCGCGTCCAGCACCAGCACCAGCACCAGCACCTTACACTCCGTCTTGGCTCATTAGCTGCTCGTCTCTGCCTCTCCTGGTCTCCTTTCCTCTCTTCCCTCCTTGTCTCCTCTTCTCCTCGTCTCCTCTCCTCCTCTAAGCGGCCGCGTCCAGCACCAGCACCTTACACTCCCTCTTGGCTATCTTGTCCAGGGAGAGCACGGTGCGTTCGGGCGGGGGCAGATAGAGGGAGCGGCCGACGGGGGAGCCCACGGGCGGGGTGATGGCACGTCGCTCCATGGCGCTGCCCGTCCTGCACACAGAGACAGAGGGTCAGAGGTCAAAGGGGACGCGAGAGGGACACTAGAGAGACACTTTTTCTCACAAAACATAAGTTGTAAATGTAAATACAGCTGAAAGCAGAAATTCACAAAACCATCAAAATGTTGTTTACAATAAGACACATTAGACAAATATAAGGTGTCCAGACGTCTCTGTTTACCCGGGACAGTCCCAGTTTTGAGCCCTGTGTCCCTGCAGATTTATCCACAAACACTGATTTGTCCCAGTTTTATGCAAGAAATGTCCCTATTTTTGACAATTTTTGACCTGCCACAGTACTACAAGTACTACATCTGTACTTCTGTGTTTACCTCATGATATGTGACCTGCAGGGCTGCTGTTGTAGATTTAGTAGTAGTATTTGCAGAAGTAGTAGTAGTAGTAATAGTAATAGTAGTAGTAAAGCAGACTAGACTCTGTAGTAGTATAAGTAGTAGTAGTAGTAATAGTAGTAGTAGTAGAAGTAGTAGTGGTAGTAGTAATAGTAGTAGTAGTAGAAATAGTAGAAGTAGTAGTAATAGTAGTAGTAATGTAAACCAGACTTAGTAGTAGTAGAAGTAGTAGTAGTAGAAATAGTAGAAGTAGTAGTAGTAGAAATAGTAGTAGTAGTAGTAATAATAGTAGTAATAGTAATAGTAACAGTAATAGCAATAGTAATAGTAGTAGTAATGTAAACCAGACTCTGTAGTAGTAGAAGTAGTAGTAATAGTACTAGTGGAAGTAGTAGTAGTAGTAGTAGTACTCATTATATGTGATCTGGAAGTCTGTTGGTGGTAGTAGTAGTAGTATTTGTAGTAAAAGTACTAATAGTAGTAGTAGTAGTAGTAGAAGCAGTAGTAGTAGTAGTAGTAGTAGTAGTAGTAGTAGTAGTAGTAGTAGCGGTGGTAGTAGTAGTAAAAGTACTAATAGTAGCGGTAGTAGTAGTAGTAATAGTAATAGTAATAGTAGTAGTAGTAGTAGTAATAGTAATAGCAATAGTAATAGTAATAGTAGTAATAGTAATAGTAGTAGTAATAGTAATAGTAGTAGTAGTAGTAGTAGTAGTAGTAGTAGTAATAGTAACTCATGTGTGATCTGGACGGCTGCTGCTGGTAGTAGTAGTAGTAGTAGTAGTAGTAGTAGTAGTAGTAGTAGTAGTAGTAGTAGTAGTAGTAGTAGTAGTAGTAGTAGTACCTCATTATATGTGATCTGGACGGCTGCTGGTGGTAGTAGTAGTAGTAGTAGTAGTAGTACCTCATTATATGTGATCTGGACGGCTGCTGGTGGTAGTAGTAGTAGTAGTAGTAGTAGTACCTCATTATATGTGATCTGGACGGCTGCTGGTGGTAGTAGTAGTAGTAGTAGTAGTAGTAGTAGTAGTAGTTATATGTATCTGGACGTGCTGGTGGTAGTAGTAGTAGTAGTAGTAGTAGTACCTCATTATATGTGATCTGGACGGCTGCTGGTGGTAGTAGTAGTAGTAGTAGTAGTAGTAGTAGTAGTAGTAGTAGTAGTAGTAGTAGTAGTAGTAGTAGTAGTAGTAGTAGTAGTAGTAGTAGTAGTAGTAGTAGTAGTAGTAGTAGTAGTAGTAGTAGTAGTAGTAGTAGTAGTAGTACCTCATTATATGTGATCTGGACGGCTGCTGGTGGGAGAAGGATTGGGAGCGTCCTAAACTGGCCTGATGTCGATCCAACAGATCTCTGACGGCCGGAGACGAGGGACTGTTCTTACCTGACACAGATAAACGAGAAACACGTGAGCATACAGTATTTTACAAACAGAATATACAAAGTACACAGGGGAGGGGGGAGAGGCAGAAAAAGACACAGAATCATCCCGCTTTATGAATACAAGTGATACTATTTATTGTATTTACTGTATTGTATTTTACTGCGTACAGGAGATAAGTAATGTAAGGTCGGTTGAGTACGTTCCATCATAAAAGAAAATGTAGTACCGTATTTTTCAGATCATAAGTCACTCTTTTTTCCTGGTTTGGGTGTTTCCTGCGACTTATATATTAAAATGTTGAAAGTGAAGCCTGGAGGGGGCGCTCTAGTCTTGTGTGTCAGTATCTGCTGCTCCTGTTCCTCCTGCACCACTGTCACTTGGCTCTACTGCGCATGTCTCCTGCAGAAAGAGCGTCTGTTCTGTCTGTATCATGTCAGTCGATCGCACCATTACTTCTGCACCACTGAACACTTTATAAGTTTAAAGTTTAAATGTTAAAGACGACTGAGAAGACTGAACACAAATGCAACCAAAAAACACAATCAGATTCTGCAGATTATAAACTGCAATTTGTGAAATCTGCAGTTGAAAATGGAAATTGAGCAGCAGAAAGAAAGTTTGGAGTGAGAGAGAAACTTGTGACATCGGGAGGATGCACCATGAAACTTTCCTGAAGTCACTGGATGGATGGACAAAGCCTGAACTTCAGTGACACTGAAACCATCCTGTCGGGATTCAGAAAGACCCAAATAATTCTAACTGGAACTGACGCTGAGTCTGATGACAGCGACACAGAAGAGGAAGTGGCGCTCTGTTTACCTCCGGAGGTTGAGGCCGAGTTGTTCAGAAGTGACACCGAGGATGAAGAATTGAATGGATTTGATTTGGAGTGAGATGGAGTTTGTTAAACTTGTTCTGTTCTGTTGTTTATGTTATAGTTTATCTGAAGAACTGTTCATATGTGACGTTAACAGTCTGTTGTTCTCTCTTCTATTGTTTTTACTACAACTTGACTTTCAAGATGAAATATCGGTTCCTGGTTTCAGATTTTATAAAATAAATTCCCCCTAAAAAGTGGGATTTGTATATTTTTTTATCTTCTTCAATACACAATTTTTGGCTGGTGTGACTTATACTCCGGAGTGACATACAGTCCGAAAAATACAGTATGTATTTTTTTAAGTGCAGGTGCAGGTGGACAGGTGAACAGACACTTGTAGAGACAGGTGCTGACAGGTGTGCAGGTGCAGGCGTGTGCTTACGAGAGAGCGGTCTGGCGTCTGGAGGAGGGTTGGACACTGAGGCGGTGAACTGCAGCTTTAACTTCATGTGTTGGCTCAACTGAAAAGAAGAAACAAAAAATGAGAAAAATCGACAAACACACACACACGGTCCGTAAACGAGATGTGTTTGTTTGAAAATGAAACAGACGAGGTGCTGTCTGTCCTGCAGGGGGCGCTCACCTCGTACAGGCCCGGGCGCAGGATCTGGAAGCCCACGCTGAAGGAGAGAGTACTTCCTTTTCTGCAGTGGCCGAGGTTAGAGAGCGGGGAGAGACATACGACGGAGGAGAGTGACGGGTCATCAGAGCCACGAGCTGAAAGAGAGAGAAAGAGACGGATGAGAGAGGAGAGGAGGAAGGAGAGGAGAACTGTAGGGAGAGGAGAGAAAGAGTGACAATTGGAGGTGAGAATGGTAGTTTGAACCACAAGCAGAGAAAGAGAGAGACATGACAGAGGAGAGGAGAGAGTAGTAGAGAGGAGAGAGAGACATACAACTGACTGTCCACGAGCAAAGAGAGAGAGAAGAGTTAGGGGAGGAGGAACGAGGGAGAGACTAGGAAGAAACATACGACAGATGAGAGGACAGGGGCCATCCAAACCACAAGAAAGAAAGAGGAAGAGAGAGAGTGGGAAGAAACATATGAGGAGGAGAGAGGGATCATCAGATTCACAGGCTTATAAAGAGAAATATGAAAGAAGCTGGGGGTCGGAGAAGTATTGAACCAAACTATTTTTGAATAATGATATGACCAAAAAGTAAACCCTCAAATTTGTACTTTTTTTTCCCAAAAAATTTGGCAAATTTGTGGTTTTGAGATTCTAGAATGTGATGATGTGACACTCAGATTCAAATTCAAAACATTTATTGTGAAATTTCCATATGAACATATGAAAAATTTAAATCATGTTCTCACTCTCAATCTTCTAAATTAAATAATATTCACTAGCTAGGACCACACCAACAACAACATAGTGCGAAGAAGTTTGTTGATAATGTACGAAGCGGGGCAGAGATGGCTGGGTTGAGACTCTAGGTGGGGGCTCCGTCTCAATCTTCAACTGGCCCAGGTGGAACAGGACCCTCCTTGTAGGGATCTTATGACTGAAAGACAAAATAGGGGATGGGAGGGTGGGGTCGAGTTCGCCGAGACAGACTGGGATGATGGGAAAGGCTGCTACATATAGGCTTCTTGGAAATTAGAGGTGTGGTCGAGGTGAGTTGTGGTTCGCTGGTGAAAGGAGAGGGCGGCTGAGGCCTGGTCCTGCTCCTGAATCTCACTTAATCATATTAACTACATATAACATAAAAGGAAAAATCCAAAGTTCTTCTTTAGGGAGACACAGATTTGTAGCTTCCTGGCAGCCTGGTGGGTAGAGAGGGGAGAGAGTTCAGCATCCTAACAGCCTGGTGGATGAAGCTGTTGGTGAATCTGGTGGTGCAGGAACGAAGGCTCCTCCTGAGGGCAGGAGGCTGAACAGATTTCATGTGGCGTGACTTGCACCACTCACAATTGTGATTACTTTGCAGGTGAGGTGAGTGGTGTATTTGTCTTGCAGGAAGGGGAGTGGTGCACCAGTGATCTTCCTGGCTGCACTCCCTGGAATTTTGTTGGGTGTGACCTCTCTGGAAGTCAACAACAATCTCCTTAGTCTTGCTGACGTTCTGCTGGAGGCTGTTGTCTCTGAAACACGTGGTCAGAAGGTCGACCTCTTTCCTGTAGTGAGTCTCGTCCTCGGTGATGAGACCCACCAGAGTTGTGTCATCCACAAACTTCACAAAGTGGAGGCAAGAGCCAGATTTCCCCAGTGATTTACTTTGTTCTTTACCATGAAATATATAAAAGGTAAATTCACAAATGTTGAACCTGATTATTTCTATTAATGACTAGACCCAAGAACTCAGTGTATTACAACACACATCTGCATCTGAACAATATTCATTTTAACTGCTCCCGTCTGCATTAAACATGATTATATATGAGTTTGGTCATATTTGGGTGACGCCTTATTGGCCCCGTGACCTCTGACACTTGACCTCTTTTGACCTTTGACCCTTACCCTCGGGCGTCCACACCAGCCGGACGGCGAGAAAGTCCTGCAGGTTGTTGAGCAGGACGTATCTGACCCGGAAGTGCTCTTTGACCCTGACGGTGCGCGGACAGGACGCGGTCATCACGAAACGAGGCTGGTCCAGACGAATGCTCGGCAACCTGCAAACAAAAACAACAGGACTAAACCAGGACTAAACCAGGACTAAAGCAAAGGACTAAAGCAAAGGACTAAAGCAAAGGACTAAACCAGGTCTAAACCAGGACTAAAGCAGGACTAAAGCAGGACTACAGCAGGACTACAGCAAAGGACTGAAGCAGGACTGAAGTAGAAAAAACCCTGGACTGAAAAAGAACTGAACCACGACTAAAGCAGGACTAAAGCAAAGGACTAAAGCAGGACAAAACCAGAACTAAACCAGGACTAAACCAGGACTAAAGCAAAGGGCGTAACCAGGACTAAACCAGGACTAAACCAGGACTAAACCAGGACTAAAGCAGGACTAAAGCAGGACTGAACCAGGACTAAAGCAGGACTGAACCAGGACTGAACCAGGACTACAGCAAAGGACTGAAGCAGGACTGAAGTAGAAAAAAACCTGGACTGAAAAAGAACTGAACCACGACTAAAGCAGGACTAAAGCAAAGGACTAAAGCAAAGGACTAAAGCAGGACAAAACCAGGACTAAACCAGGACTAAAGCAGGACTGAACCAAGACTGAAGTAAGACTAAAGCAAAGGACTTAAGTAGGACAAAAACAGGACTAAACTAGGATTAAGAAGGGCTAAAGCAGGACTAAACCAGGCTGAAGTAGGACTAAACTAGGACTAAAGCACAAGTAAAGCAGAACTAAATCAGGACTAACCCTGGTCTAAAGTAGGACTAAACCTGGACTGAACCAGGACTAAAACAGGACTAAAGTAGGACTACACCAGGACTAAAGCAGGACTGGACAGAAATGAACTAGTACTACACCAGGACTGAACAGGGATTAAACCAGGACTAAAGAGACACTGAACCAGGTCTAAACCAGGACTTGAGGTTGTGGTGATGATGTAAACAGCTTAAGATGTGTTTCTGTTTTTATCTTGTGTGGACGTTTTGTAACTTTTGACCACAAACATTTCACAAACATGTTTTTACCGACTCCACTCACCAGCCCAAAGTCCCCGAGCGTTTACGAGCTCAACGTTGTGTTTTCAGATAATTATTATTTTTCATCTGTATATTATTTCACATCAGGTTATTATGCAGAATGTACTTTTTGAAGCTTTTTATTGTGTTATAACATTGTTCCCTCAACAAAAACCTGCCTGAAGACGTTTTAGAGACGTCAGTGCATGTTTGAGTAATTTAGCGATCTCTCCCGAGCCCTATTCAAACGGTTCTTAAGGGGAGCTGTAAGATTCTGTACAAGGCTCAGCCCATTTTTCCGTTTTAGTGTCATACAAAAAAACTGATTTCAACCTCTATTTACAATATTTAATTTTAAGTTTATTTCAAATGACACCAATCAAAAAACTGTCATCGTGCTTGTTTTAATTTTGATATTTTATTCTCTCTGGTTTATCTGAAGTTCTGCTGCTCAGCGTTGCGCGTGTGAATTCAGTATCAGCTGAACAAAGGAGATGATCTCTGCTTCCCGTTTCTCATTGTAGAGTTCAACAATGACTTTCTAAGAGACGAAAGTAAAAAAGTAAACGTGTCGCTATAAAGGGAGAGGACATGTTTGTTCACACAATGAGCCTATACAGCTTTTTCCAATTCTGCATCAGTCTTAGTTGTGTTTTTCACCAAATCTTCAAGTACTCATTTCTGAGCTCATCTTAATTCCATTTTGCTTCAGTGTGGAGGAAATTTCCGCATGTGTCTTTCCTGCTCCAAACAACTCTGATTTTAGCCTGGATCTTTATGTCAGACACGTCCTAGAGCAGGGGAGTCAAACTCAAAATCACAGAGACCAAAATTAAAAACTGGGAAAGTCGTGGGCCAAACTAAATATTTTTTGAAAAATTTCAACAACATCTGCATGTTTTCTCTTCTTTCGAGATATGTAAAGTTAAACCTTTTCTTACTAAAATAAAAGTTTAATAACAGTTTTGCTTAAACATTGAATCCAAAAAAGCAAAATATAAAATGACACATTTTTAATTAAACAATGTCTCTATAGTCTATCTGTAGTCGGTGGGCAGCTCTAATACATATTTGATATGATCTCATGGGCCAAATATAATTATATTGTCGGTCAAATTTGGCCCCCGGGCCTGAGTTTGACATAGTTGGCCTATAACATCCACTGATACAGACTGATGCATCCAAACTTAAAAATATGTGCTAGGCAGCAAAACATCTGGGACAAATAAACCAGAGAGAATAAAATATCAAAACTGAAACAGGCACGATGACTGTTTTTTAACTGGTGTTATCTGAAATAAACTTTACATTAAATATTGTAATTAGAGGTTGAAATCTGTTTTTTTGTTTGACACTAAAACAGAAAAATGAAATAAACTATTTTCCCATTTTATTGTTTTCCATTTTTGTTTGAAATTCGAAGGAACGAATGATACATGGACCACACAAGCCCACATCACCCCCACTCCCACACGACAATACACAAAAAACATGATACAAAATTGTTCACTACAACTTCACAAACCTGATGGGATGTGTAGTTGTTTAATTAGCAAAATGTAAATTGATTATAATGTGAAAGCGCTTTGAAGGGGGAGTGACTTTTGACTTATAAAACATGTAAATAAGTTGTTTTTCAGTGAATACAGTATGTAAAATATCCCCTGTTTAATATTAGAAACAGGTGCAGAAAAAGATGTTTTTGAACCCTGCGTGTGTGACTCACATTATGTTTACACTGAAACCAATCACCGTATCGGAAACGATTTGTGTCCAGACATGTCGTTTCTGTGTCTGTTCCCTCCACACAGTAACGCGAAACCGCCTGAAACGCTGATCACATGACGAGGCTGGCGTCACGATGTCATGTGGGCGGTAAAAACAAGGAAGTGGAGCACCGAGTCTGAAGTTGCGGCAGCCGATTTTGAGCCGAGGAAGTTCGCAAGTGTGTCTTTTCGTGGACTGACAACGAGGTTCAGTTGTTACCGAAAGTAACACTGGATTTTAAGACGAGCACGGCGGCTCAGAGTGTGGATGAACGACGTCACGAACCCAGAGAATCAGGAAGATGCAAGTCACAGTGTATCAACGTTTTCAATCTTCCACACAGATCTGAACGAACATGAATTTGTGGGAGATCGTTCCGTCTCTGGAGCCATTTTCCATCGGATTAGTGTGAACGAAAACATCCACAACGAAAACAAGCTGAATTCGAACTAGTGTGGATGGGGCCTCAGAGTCTTTTCAATAATCACAGGGGGCGGGGATAGGGGGTAGGTGAAAACTGTATTTCTCACCTGTAGTGGGTGTAGATGCAGTTGGTGAACGGCATTTTGGGAGTCGACCACTGAACCACGGCAACAAGAGGAACCTCCAGACCCTGAGGAGAGAAAGACCAGGACTAAACCAGGACTAAACCAGGTCTAAGTCAGGTTCGAATCAGGTCTGAATCAGAACTAAACCAGGACTAAACCAGAACTAAACCAGGACTAAACCAGGTCTAAGTCAGGTCTGAACCAGAATTAAACCAGGGGACTAAACCAAGTCTAAACCAGGTCTAAATCAGATCTAAACCACGACTAAACCAGGTCTGAATCCGTTCTGAACCAGAATTAAACCAGGGGACTAAACCAGGTCTGAACCAGGTCTGAATCAGGTCTGAACCAGGTCTGAACCAGGTCTGAACCAGGACTAAACCAGGTCTAAACCAGGTCTGAACCATGACTAAACCATGAGTAAACCAGGACTAAACCAAAACTAAACCAGGACTAACTAACCAGGTCTGATTCAGGTCTAAACCATGATTAAACCAGGTCTAAACCAGGTCTGAACCATGACTAAACCATGAGTAAACCAGGACTAAACCAAAACTAAACCAGGACTAAACCCGGTCTTGTACCTCTGTGGACTCCTCCTGGTTGGTGTCATTGAGGTGCAGCTGGAACAGGAAGTCGTGCTCCTCCAGAGCGCTGAGCATGCTGGGTAATCTGCCCGAGGGAGTGTCCACGCGCGAGAAGGAGCCCATGCCCACCTCACCCGACTGGTGACTGAAAACCACCACAAAAACCTTATTCAAAAACTCAAAATCTCAACAAAACAGCTCATACTAACACTAAACTAGATCATCTATTTTTTTACATTTAAAGAGGAGGTATTACGGAGTTTTTATTATTATTTATTTTGTCTTTCTACCATGTTAAGGCCGTCGCACTACAGGAGAATTTGCTTGATTTTGGCTTGATTTGCTTCTCCTGGAGAGGCATTTTTGAAGCCGTTGTGCTGCAAAAGCTCCAAAAAGTCGACTTTGAATAATACCCCTCTAAAAGTGTTTTAATTGAAATCTGTATTTTCAGTGTCGTCATTCAAATAATTTCCCTTGTGGATCAATAAAGTTTGTCTAAGTTTAATGTCTTAATGTCTAAGTCTATCAAAACCCTACAAAATCCCTGACTTTGTGGGAACCACTTTGTGTGAACTGATGTTGGTTTGAAGGCAAAACTATTGATTTGATTTAGATTTTCTTTTGGTCGCTTGCATTTGTAAATTGATAAAAACAAACAATCATTATTTATATTTTGAAAGCATTCTTTGTTTAGAGCATTTCTTTTTTTTACACCTGCCTAAAACTTTTGCACAGTACTGAAACTAAACTAAATGAAAACAGATGAAATAAAGAGTTCACCAGACGTTATCGACGAGCAGCACAGAGCCGTCGGGCATCACGGGCAAATACGACGCGTTCAGGTTCGGAAGAATCCTCACGTCACGAATACTCAGCTCCTCCTGAGAGCACTCGTTTAAGACTGAGGAGAGAAAACTGGGTCAGAACCAGGACTAAAACAGGACTGGACCAGGACTGAAATAAGTTTAAACCAGGAGTAAAACAGGACTGGACCAGGACTAAACCAGGACTAAACTAAAACTGAACCAGGACTGGATCAGGACTGAAAAAAGTTTAAACCAGAACTAAACCAGGTCTTAACCAAGACTAAACCAGGTCTAAACCAAGACTGACCCAAGACTAAAACAGGACTAAACCAGGTCTAAACCAAAATTAAACCAGGTTTAAACCAAGTCTAAACCAGGACTAAACCGGGTCTAAACCGGGTCTAAGCAAGGTCTAAACCGGGTCTAAACCAGGTCTAAAACAGGACTGAACTAGGACTAAACCAGGACTAAACCGGGTCTAAACCAGGTCTAAACCAGGTCTAAACCAGGTCTAAACCAGGACTGAACCGGGTCTAAACCGGGTCTAAACCAGGTCTAAACCGGGTCTAAACCAGGTCTAAACCAGGTCTAAACCAGGACTGAACCAGAACTAAACCGGGTCTAAACCAGGTCTAAACCAGGTCTAAACCAGGTCTAAACCAGGTCTAAACCAAGACTAAATTCTGTCTAAACTAAGTCTAAACCAAGACTAAACCGGGTCTAAACCAGGTCTAAACTGGGTCTAAACCAGGTCTAAACCGGGTCTAAACCAGGTCTAAACCAAGACTATACCAAAACCAAGTCTAAACCAGGACTAAACTGGATCTAAACCAGGACTGAACCAGGACTAAACCAGAATTAAACCAGGTCTAAACCAAAACTATACAAAGAATAAACCAGGTCTAAACCAGGTCTAGGGGTGTTGTGGGTGCAGTACCTTTGAGCACAGCCAGGTGGCGCCCGGACACAGTCATCTGTTTGCAGCGCACGGTGGGAGGAGGGAGCACGCTCAGAGTCGTACTCACTGAAAAAAAGACAAAACGTAAACATCAAATGTCACGTCACGATCACGGTGCCTTTACTGCCTTAAAAACACGAAGAACAGAACTAGAACCAGAACTAGAACTAGAACAAGGAACAACTACGTGGAAAACATCAGTTACCGAGACTTTAAAGTGTATTTTCTAACCTGGAGTTTATTTTAATTTTATTGTTTTTAAAATGTGTTATTTCTTCTTCTTCTTCTTCTTCGTACCTTGAGCCTTGAAGGTGTTGAGGTCATGTCTGAACGTGTGAACCGGCGCCCTCTGCTGGAGAACAGACAGATAACCAAGCTCCTGAACCTCCGCTTTGTCCTGCTCCCTCTTCCACACTGTCACCATCACCTGACCAAGACGAGGAGCAGGAGGAAGAGCAAGGGGTCAGATGGAGGACTAACAGTAGTAGTAGTAGTAGTAGTAGTGGTAGTAGTAGTAGTAGTAGTAGTAGTAGTAGTAGTATTATCTGTAGTACTAGTACCTTGACTTTGAGCGTGCTGACCGGGAGCTTGTCCAGAGACACGGTGAGAGGAAAGATGACCTCATCAGAGAGAACTACAGGTTCATCCAGAGGAGACTGAAACACACACACCTGGTTTAGTCCTGGTTCAGTCCTTGTTCAGTTCTGGTACAGTCCTGGTACAGTCCTGGTCTGATACTGGTCCATTTCTGGTCTGATCCTGATGTAGTTCTGGTTCAGTTCTGGTTCCGTTCTGGTTCAGTCCTGGTCTAGTCCTTGTCTAGGCCCAGTTCAGTCCTGGTTTAGTCCCAATCTAATCCTGGTTCAGTCCTGGTTCAGTCCTGGTCCGATCCTGATGTAGTCCTGGTTCAGGCCTGGATAAGGCTCTGTTCAGTCCTGGTCTAGCCCTGTTTCAGTCAGAGTTTAGTCTTGGTCTAGTCCTGATCTAGTCCTGGTTCAGTCCTGGTCTAGTTCCAGTATGTTGGCCCTCCTGTGCCCTATGAACATGTGGATGATCAGGGGTTTACAGTCTCTGTTCAGTCCCGGTCTAGTCTCAGTCTAGTCTCGGTCTAGTCCCGGTCTAGTCCCGGTCTAGTCCCGGTTCAGTCCCGGTTCAGTCCCGGTCTAGTCCCGGTCTAGTCCCAGTCTAGTACCTGTATGTTGGCACTCCTGTGCCCTCTGAACATGTGGATAATTCAGGAGTTTAAAGTCTCTGTTCAGTCCTGGTCTAGTCCCGGTCTAGTTGTGGTCTAGTCATGGTCTAGTACCTGTATGTTGGCCCTCCTGTGGCCTCTGGACGTGTGGATGATCAGGGGTTTACAGTCTCTGAAGCTTCGGCACCTCGAGTCGACCCGACTGCCCAGCGCCGCGATGGCCGCCTCCGCCGCCGCCATGTAGTCGTCCTGCTCGTCGCCGTGGTGATGGTGGTTACCACGGTGACGGGAGCTGTCGCCGGGGGAGACGCTCGCCACGGCGCAGAGCGAGGACGCCAAATCCCGCCACGACCCAGACTCTGTGGACTCCGACAGACCTGGACCAGAGACAGAAAATCAAGACTAAACAAGGACTAAACAAGGACTAAACCAGGACTAAAAAAGTACTAAACCAGGACTGAACCAGGACTAAACCAGGACTAAACCAGGTCTAAACCAGGACTGAACCAGGTATAAACGAGGACTAAACAAGGATTAAACCAGGGCTTAATCAGGACTAAGCCAAGTCTAAATGAGGATTGAACCAGGACTGAAACAGGCCTAAAACCAGGACTTAACCAGGACTAAAACAAGGACTAAACCAGGGCTAAAACCAGGACTAAACCAGGGCTAAACCAGGGCTAAACCAGGACTGAACAGGTCTAAAACCAGGTCTAACCCAGGTCTAAAACCAGGTCTAAAACAAGGATTGAACCAGAACTAAACCAGGACTAAAACCAGGACTGAACCAGGTCTAAACAAGGACTAAACAAGGATTAAACCAGGGCTTAATCAGGACTAAGCCAGGTCTAACTGAGGATTGAACCAGGACTGAACCAGGTCTAAAACCAGGACTAAACCAGGGCTAAAACCAGGACTAAACCAGGGCTAAACCAGGACTAAACCAGGACTAAACCAGGACTGAACAGGTCTAAAACCAGGTCTAAAACCAGGTCTAAAACAAGGACTGAACCAGGACTAAACCAGGACTGAATCAGGACTAAAACAGGCCTAAAACTAGGACTAAACCAGGACTATACTAGGACTAAACCAGGACTAAAACAAGGACTAAACCAGAACTGAAACGGGACTGACCCAGGACTGAAACAGGATTAAAACTAGGGCTAAACTTGGGCAAAAAACATGATTTAAGATCTTATTTTATTTTACACATTATTACTTGAAGAGTTGTAATAGTTTCAAATATAACATCACGTGATTCTCTGTAATAACCCTTTAATTGTGTATAATAAATGTATGATAAATGTATAATAAATGTGTTATAAATGTATAATAAATGTGTTATAAATGTGTAATGAGCACAAACCGTATGCGTGCGTTATTACAGCGTGGCGCCCCCTGTAGGCCGCCGCTGGGACTGCACAGACGCGCGATGCACAAAAACAGACACGTCAAAACAAACACTAAACCGGAATGAACCTAAACCCGAGGCAAACCGGGCCAAACTAGGCCAGGAGCACGGGGCACACGAGCACAAACCAGGGCAGTCTCACAACAAGCACTTAGACCAGACAGCATCAGCCAGACCGAGCCAAACCGCACCAAAACCAAGACCGAGTCATATGTGCAAACCGGCAACACAGTGCATCTTCATTAAAGAACGAAAGCAGGGCCAAACCGGGCTAAAGACTAAACCTGGACTAACTGAGTGCTTCTCTCTCAAAATCGACTGCATTTCCCTTTGAACCGACTAAACCAGGACTAAACCAGGACTAAACTGGACCCGGGAAGCCTGGAGGATCTTTCTCACAGCTGTATTTCCGTGAGCTCAGACCTGCCCCCAACTCCTCTCGGACAAATCCGACAAAGACTCGTTCGGAGCCGGTTCTGAGCCGGTCCGGGCCGTGCTTACGTGAGTCTCTGCAGCGCAGCACTAGCAGAAAGCGCACGGTCTCTCCCAGGTACAGGTGACTGCGGCGGGGGAGGCTCCGGTACCGGGCCGGGTCACTGAGCTCACTGAGCGGCACCGCGGGGAAGTACATGAGGTATTCACACTGAGACTCCATCTCCTGCACCATGGCCGCGGAGGAGGCGCCAAGGCCCGGGGAGGACCGCGAGAAGAGCCGGGGAGAGGAGCACCGAGGCCCGGGGACCAGAGGAGGAAGAGCCGGGGAGGAGGCGCCGAGGCCCGGGGAGCAGAGGAGGAAGAGCCGGGGAGAGGAGGCGACAGCTCCGGGTTTACACGGAGGAGGCGGCGGGAGGCGGCGGGAGGATGCCGGGCCCCGGGGGAGGACACCGGGACAGAGCGGAGACACCGGAGGAGGACACGGGACGATGCAGATGCGGAGACAGGAGTGCGCTCTTCCTCTGTGGCGTTTGTGTTGGTAAACAATGGAGCGGTGCATTACCGCCCCCTACAGGACGACAGCGTCACTGAGCCCCGCGTGCGTCCGCGTTCCTCCACGTCCTGATGAGATCAAGTGAAACTCATCCAGGACGTGGGTAAAGAAAAGGTCTCATCAACACAGAAACTGTTTGACAGGATGATGTGCTCACGTGACTCACAGACACATTTCCACTGTGGAGACAGTGAAGCTGAACCGTCAGATACAAACACGCACATCCAACAAAAACTGCGACTGCGTGCTGGGTCCAAAGACAAAAATTGTGCAAAAGAAAAAAACGATCTGCACTGCAGTTCTTGAAGCTTTTGAAGCTTCAGTGACACCACTGTGTGGTCTCAATCACAATGGTGTCATCAAGAAGTTGCGGCCACAACACAACACATACCTCGATACAGTGCACTTTAGATACGATCCATTTAACTGTATTTCAAATCAATTTGATACGGTTCAATAAAAATAAAGGCTAAATCATGTCTGTGACACTAAAAGTCTTTGTTAAACCACGTCTAGTGCAAAGTTCATATGAAACACAAACATTTTAATCATCAAAACAGTGCAATATCAAATGTGTGACATTTCCACAAAACAAGCACCAAAACTTTAACAGAAAATCCTCTTGGTGATAAATTGATACAGCAGCACATGATACCGATACTTTATTATCACATTAAACCATACGTGTGTACGTACGTGTGTGTGTGTGTGTAGTGTGTGTATGTATACGTGTGTGCGTCTCTGTGTGTGTAGTGTGTATATGTACATGTGTGCACGTGGTCGTGTGTGTAGTGTGTATGTACATGTGTGTACGTCTGTGTGTGTGTGTGGTCGTGTGTGTGCATGGTCGTGTGTGTGCGTGGTCGTGTGTGTGTGTATGGTCGTGTGTGTGTGTGTGTGTATGTACATGTGTGCGCGTGGTCGTGTGTGTGTGTATGTACATGTGTGTGTGTGGTCGTGTGTGTGTGTGTGTAGTGTGTGTGTAGTGTGTGTATGGTCATGTGTGTGTGTGGTCGTGTGTGTGTAGTGTGTGTATGGTCATGTGTGTGTGTGTGTGTATGGTCATGCGTGTGCGTGGTCGTGTGTATGGTCATGTGTGTGTGTGTGTATGGTCATGCGTGTGCGTGTGTGTATGGTCATGCGTGTGCGTGTGTGTATGGTCGTGTGTGTGTGTGTGTATGGTCATGCGTGTGCGTGGTCGTGTGTGTGTGTATGGTCATGCGTATGCATGGTCGTGTGTGTATGTAGTATGTGTATGGTCATGTGTGCACGTGGTCGTGCGTGTAGTGTGTGTGTAGTGTGTATGGTCGTGTGTATGTGTGTGTGTATGGTCATGTGTGCGCGTGGTCGTGTGTGTGTGTGGTCATGTGTGTGTATGGTCGTGTGTGTGTATGGTCATGTGTGCGCGTAGTCATGTGTGCGCGTGGTCATGTGTGTGTGTGTGTGTGTATGGTCGTGTGTGTAGTGTGTGTGGTCATGTGTGTGTGTGTGTGTATGGTCGTGTGTGTGTAGTGTGTATGGTCATGTGTGCGTGTGGTTGTGTGTGTAGTGTGTGTGTAGTGTGTGTACGGTCATTGTGAGCATGGTCATGTGTGTGTAGTGTGTGTATGGTCATGTGTGTGTGTGTGTAGTGTGTGTATGGTCGTGTGTGTATGGTCGTGTGTGCGTGGTCGTGTGTGTAGTGTGTATGGTCGTGTGTGTGTAGTGTGTGTGTAGTATGTGTATGGTCATTGTGCGCGTGTGTGTCGTGTGTGTATGGTCGTGTGTGTGTGTAGTGTGTGTATGGTCGTGTGTGTGTGTGTGTGTGTATGGTCATGTGTGTGTGTGTGTGTGTATGGTCATGTGTGTGCGTGGTCGTGTGTGTGTGTATGGTCATGCGTGTGCATGGTCGTGTGTGTGTGTTTATGGTCATGCGTGTGCGTGTGTGTGTGTAGTATGTGTATGGTCATGTGTGCGCGTGGTCGTGTGTGTAGTGCGTGTGTAGTGTGTATGGTCATGTGTGTGTGTGGTCGTGTGTGTGTGTAGTGTGTGTATGGTCATGTGTGCACGTGGTCGTGTGTGTAGTGCGTGTGTAGTGTGTATGGTCATGTGTGTGTGTGGTCGTGTGTGTGTGTAGTGTGTGTATGGTCATGTGTGCGCATGGTCGTGTTTGTAGTGTGTGTGTAGTGTGTATGGTCGTGTGTGTGTAGTGTGTGTATGGTCGTGTGTGTGTGTGTGTGTGTGTGTATGGTCATGTGTGTGCATGGTCGTGTGTGTGTGTAGTATGTGTATGGTCATGTGTGCGCGTGGTCGTGTAGTAGTGTGTGTGTAGTGTGTATGGTCGTGTGTGTGTGTGGTCGTGTGTGTGTGTAGTATGTGTATGGTCATGTGTGCGCGTGGTCGTGTGTGTAGTGTGTGTGTAGTGTGTATGGTCATGTGTGTGTGTGGTCTTTTGTGTGTGTAGTGTGTGTATAGTCATGTGTGCGCGTGGTTGTGTGTGTATAGTGTGTGTATGGTCATGTGTGTGTGTGTGTGTGTGTATGGTCATGTGTGCGCGTGGTCGTGTGTGTAGTGTGTGTGTAGTGTGTATGGTCATGTGTGTGTGTGGTCGTGTGTGTGTAGTGTGTGTATGGTCATGTGTGTGCGTGGTCGTGTGTGTAGTGTGTGTGTAGTGTGTGTATGTGTCATGTGTGTGTGTGTGTATGGTCATGTGTGTGTGTGGTCGTGTGTGTGTAGTGTGTGTGTATGTGTCATGTGTGTGTGTGGTCGTGGTGTGTAGTGTGTGTGTAGTGTGTGTATGGTCATGTGTGTGTGTGTGTGTGTGTGTGCGTGTGTCGTGTGTGTGTAGTGTGTGTATGGTCATGTGTGTGTGTGTGTATGGTCATGTGTGTGCGTGGTCGTGTGTGTAGTGTGTGTGTAGTGTGTATGGTCGTGTGTGTGTGGTCGTGCGTGTGTGTAGTGTGTGTATGGTCATGTGTGTGTGTGTGTGTATGGTCATGTGTGTGCGTGTGTATGGTCATGTGTGTGCGTGGTCGTGTGTGTAGTGTGTGTGTAGTGTGTGTATGGTCATGTGTGTGTGTGTATGGTCATGTGTGTGCGTGGTCGTGTGTGTAGTGTGTGTGTGTCGTGTGTGTGTGTAGTGTGTGTATGGTCATGTGTGCGCGTGGTCGTGTGGGCGGGACTTGGGGACACTGCAGTCTTGTCTTAGGTTTCATTGGGCCCTGTTTTGAATGAGCTTCATAAATTATTCACAGGATCTGAAGGTCGGACTAAACCAGGATTTAGTGGGTCTGGGATCAGGACTCAGATCAGAACTTAGACTGGAACCAGGCTGGGATCTAAACCGGACCATCCTTGAACAAAACGAATCAGAGAACGCCGAGAAACGGTAAGAACTAAACTAAACTAAAATCAAACAAACGATTTGGACCAGGTTTAATCCCGTTTTAGTAATGGTTTAGTCCTGGTTCAGTCCTGGTTTAATTCTGGATTAGATTTAAATCCTGGCATCCTGATTTAACCTAATTTTGACCTGTTTTTTATCATTATTATTTTTTTAAATAAATAAATAAATAGATAAATAAATTTTTATTTATTTTATTATTATTATTATTATTATTATTTTAATATATGGGAGGGCATCTGGGTTATTTGTGTGACATCCTGGCCTCTGAGGAAGCTGCAGTTAATGATTGAGACAAAACTGATGAACCAGAACTCTGCATCAGCAAAACCAACGGAACTCAAATCATCATGATGTGGTTTAGTCCTAATTTAGTCCCAATTTACCCCTGGTTTAGTCCTGATTTAGTCCCGATTTAGTCCAGATATAATACCAATTTTAGTCCCAATTTAGTCTCGATTTAGTCCTGATTTAGCCCTGAGTTAGTCCATATTTAATACCAATTTAGCCCTGGTTTAGTCTGCATTTAGTCCTGATTTAGCCCTGGTTTAGTCCTAATTTGGTCCCGATTTGGTCCAGATTTAGTCCTGATATAGTCCCTATTTATTCATGATTTAACCCCGATTTAGTCCTGATCTAGTCCCGATTTAGTCCCGATTTAGTCCCGATTTAGTCCCGATTTAGTCCCAATTTAGCCCTTTAGCCCTGGTTTAACCCTGGTTTAGTCCCAATTAATCCCAATTTAGTCCTGGTTAGTCCTGGTTTAGTCCTGTTTTAGTTCTCTATATAACTGTGGATGATAAACTTACATTTTCAGTGTAAAATCTGTTCATATTTAAAAATCAAAAGTATATTTTTTTTACTTTTTCATTTTACAGAAACACGGATTAAACCTCTAACTTCATCTGGGGGAAAACTGGGAATCGGACGGACAACTCCTCACAGACACGCGGGAACGGCTGCGATAAAACCAGGATTCTTTGGAAAAATCACAGACGTATATTTGTTGCGCCGCAGGTTTTGATTTGAAACTTTTTATAGACTCCACCAACTCAACTTGATGATTCGGCTTTTCCTTGTTAAACCTGGATTTGTCTTTCTCGAATTTGTGTTTAAACATTTTTTTTCCAGTTTTATTTTTCCGAGTTCACATCATGAATCCGAACTCCCGTCGCTCATAAATGACAATAACAATTCCCGAAGAAGAGGGACTTCAGATTTAAGACGACAAAATTGAATAATATTTTAACCGTTTCTCTTGACGACATTTTACAAACCCGAGAATGATTTTTTTTTAAATAATTATTTAAGAGACAAATATTAAAACAAGACATTATAACTGCAAAAAACATCCTTTCATTAAGCCGTAACTAGAATCCTGATAACTAAAGTTGCCTTTTGAAAACTCAGAAGAACTTTTATCCCGTTAAATTTAATTTTTTTGAATAATAATAATAATAATTTACTTTATTTATCAACTAATGGCGTCAAATCGGACATAAAAATTTGCGATCGCTCTCTGGACTATAGAGAAAGACAAAAAAACTTTTATAGTAAGTTAAAATGTCAAAAGAAACTAGTCCACGAATTTCAAGCTACTGA